GGGGGGTACAGGTGGACAAAATGTCCACTATAATGGACATAAATGAATGGGCCGGGTCTCAGGAGGATATAAATAAAAATACCTTGCTTTTCTCCCCCAGAACCACATCCCGGAGCTGGACTCTCCTCTGTCCGAGCGGGTTCGGGCGTTTCTGGACTGGCTGCAGGACAACCGCGCCTTCAGCTGCACCTTCCACGTGCTCAGGTCAGAACTCTGGACATTTAGAGCCCTCTGAGTGGTCCAAGAGCAGTTTATGTTCCCTGAGGATTAACCAGTTCTCTCCTGTTATTCATTCATTCATTCATTTAGTTAGTTAGTTAGTTGGTTGGTTGGTTGGTCATTTAGTTAGTTGGTTAGTTAGTCATTTAGTTAGTCGTTTAGTTAGTCAGTTAGTTAGTCAGTTAGTTAGTCAGTTAGTTAGTTAGTTAGTCAGTTAGTTGGTTGATCGGTTAGTCATTTAGTTAGTTGGTTGGTTGGTTGGTTGGTTGGTTAGTTGGTTAGTTAGTCATTTAGTTAGTTGGTTGGTTAGTTAATTATTCATTTAGTTATTTGGTTGGTTAATTATTCATTTAGTTAGTTGGTTAGTTTATTATTAATTTAGTTAGTGGCCGCAGAAACCATCTAAAACCTTCTTTAGCAGTTTTCCAGTTTCTTTCCTTCTTGAATCGGCTTTAGTGGAAGTTAAACAGAGGAGATGAATGTTGGATATTCAGCTCCTTCTCCTCACAGCCATTTAGAGCCCCTGTGATTGGTCTAGGAGCAGTTTATGTTCTCTGAGGATTAACCAGTTCTCTCCTGGACCCGGTCTGGACCTGGTCTGGATTCTGTCTGGACTCTCTGGGCGATTTAGGCCCCTTTGATTGGTCTAAGATTGGTTTTTGTTTGCCTGAGGATCGTCCAGTTCTCTCCTGTTATTCAGCCAGTTATTCATTTAGTTAGTTAGTTAGTTAGTTAGTTAGTTAGTTAGTTGGTTAGTTGGTTAGTTGGTTAATTATTAATTTAGCTAGTTAGTTGGTTAGTTATTAATTTAGCTAGTTAGATAGTTGGTTAGTTATTAATTTAGTTAGTTAGTTAATTATTCATTTGGTTTGTTGGTTAGTTGGTTAATTATTCATTTGGCTAGTTAGTTAGTTGGTTAGTTATTAGTTTAGTTAGTTTGTTATGCATTTAGTTAGTTGGTTAGTTAGTTATTCATTTAGCTAGTTAGTTGGTTAGTTATTAAGTTTGTTAGTTAGTTGGTTATTCATTTAGTTAGTTAGTTAGTTAGTTAGTTAGTTAGTTAGTTAGTTAGTTAGTTAGTTAATTATTAATTTAGTTAGTTGCATAGTTATTCATTTAGTTAGTTAGTTGGTTAGTTAGTTAATTATTCATTTAGTTAGTTGCATAGTTACTGATTTAGTTAGTTAGTTGTTCAGTTAGTTGGTTAGTGAGTGAGTGAGTGAGTAGCAGCAGAAACCATCTAAAACCTTCTTAACCAGTTTTCCAGTTTCTTTCCATCTTGAATCGGCTTTAGTGGAAATAAGGGAGGAGATATTCGTTGGATATTCAGCTTCTTCTCCTCACAGTAGTCAGGATTTGCCTTTTTTATCCTCTCTGGGCCTCTGGAGGACGCTCAGAGCTGCTGATGAGTTGTTTCCTGCCTGAGGTCAGAGGTCAGGTGTCACATGACCTCACGGAAGTGAAGAATAGTAAAGAACTTGAGGGATTTGGTGTGGAGCTTCATGGTGTCCATGTTTCCTCTGAAATAATCCAAACCAACCTGGTTTTGACCTCCGTTTCTTCTGAGGATCCTTCAAATCCTCCAGATGTTTGTTGAGATGAGCTCCATCTGGTCTAATCATTTTGAGAGGCATACTAATATTTATATATACGTCTTAGGTCCGTTTTTTATTTGTCTTTTGTTTCGGCTTTTGTGCATTTTCTTTCAACCCTTGATAAATGTTCTGTGGAAAATCTGTGATCACTTCCAGGTGTTTGGACACACAGTGGGGGAAATAAGTATTTGAGCCCTTGCTGATTTTGCAGGTTTGCCCACTTACAAAGAATGCAACGATCTATAACTTTAATCATATGTACATTCTAACAGTGAAAGACAGAATCCCAAAGAAAATTCCAGAAAATCACATCATATGAATTTATAAAAATGGATAACCATCTGATGAGGAAAAATAAGCATTCTTTGTAAGTGGGCAA